ACGGACCAGCTTGGAAAGTCATCTTAGATGAACTTAACATACCACCCACTGTATTAATCACCCACTGTCCATGTACTCTAAAAAACGTGAAAGGTGTGCAGGGTGACACACGGACCGGAGGGGATCCGGGTAGCTAACCTCTGACACATCCCAGGGTTGTGACCTCGTCCAAGAATCACTAACCCCATCTCGTGATAGACCATCAGAAGGGTTGCTCTCAGAGTCAATCCACTCGATCCAAACACGAATTTGAAATCTTTGGAACAAGAAATGCGCGACCTGAACGAGCGTATGGACATCGATCTGGGAGCTGGATCCTCGAATGAGGGAAGCAACAGCTGCTTCATTATCGATGAACCATAGGAGATCCTGGTGGTGTAATGTTGCTCCATGAAACCACGGTACCAAGAGCCCACACAGTGTCTCACCAGGGTAAATTTGTTGGGTACGGTCGGTCCAGGACTCAATCACCTCTTGCGGGACGACACATGTCAGTCCCTGGGGGCGAGACGACTGACCGAAGACAACCCAGCCGACGCGGAGGACCCCCTGCTCAAAGGACGCATCCGAGTACACAAGGACTGGTTGGGGAGGGAGAGCCCGCACAGCTACATCTCGAGGCCCTGGGCAGGTCACCAATGCTGCTAAGAGCTGAAAGGTAACGGAGTCCTCAGGGGAGAGAGTAGGGGAGTCAGCATGCTGCAACGCAGTGAGTGTGGGTCCAGCGATCCGACCTGCCTGACCTGCACACATGCTAAACATCCAGTTGAGGTCCCCTCTGAGCTTTCCAGCGTCGTCCGGCGACAGACTGTTGGTAGCCAGCGCCAAGTGAATTTTAGCTAAAACCTTCCTCTGAGTGGTGAACTTGGGTTGGAATCTGATCGCTCCCATAGACACAAAGTCGCCAACATGTACTGAAGTACCAAGGTAATGACGGTTACGTCCAGGGGCGAAAGATTTGGATGCTTGCGGTGGTGCTCCCATGAGTTGGAACACAAGTTGGAGTCCGCGCTGCGAGACATCCGCATGGTGAACAAAATCAACCGCAAGTTCATCATCAAAGTATGCAGCACAAAATGAGAGGGTACAGCGTCTTGCAATCGCGATACCCAACTGGGGGAGCCGGTTGAAGCTCACCACCGCACTCTCTAACCCGTAGGCGAGCCCGTACATGGTGGTAAACCGCCAGCCTTCGTCGGGGACGAAAATGGCCACATTGGAAAACCGCAAATGGTCATCTTGGACCGGCAGGCCTCGATAGGCATCGGGCAGGTCATCCGTGCCCAATCGTAAATCAAGCCAATCAGGAGGGTCGGACCAATGGGTCTCCAAAGCGGTATTAACCATGCGCGCTACGGATGCAACAAAGTCAACATTAACGGTCGAAATGGTTTCTTGCATGGATGTATGACGATTGTGGCCACTCTTTCGGGCATTATCAATAACCCTTTGTTTACCATCAGGTTGAATAATAAGGAAACGTTCCACAGCGCGCCAACCACCCACACCAAATAGATCGTTCATCTCCTGCATGGTTCGTAGTGGGCTGCAAAAACCCTTGAGGATCTCGTCCTGAGTAACTGCCAAAATTTCTGGAGCATGCAGGGGGGGTCGACTACGGATCAACCGCTGGACTTCCTCTTCAGCTGATGGACCCAGCCAATCAGCCAAAGGGAGTTTGTCAGCTTGTTGAATACCTCGGAACACCCCGGACGGCGGGAGGGACCCAACAATAGCGAACCCCTGGACGAGTTGGCGGGCCATATCACGGTCCGGCCATCGCAGAAGGCATGCCATGGTTGCAACAAAAGCAGGCTGTTTAGTATGCGCTACTTTGTTGGAACTAGTAGACCGTACGGCTGCAAGACACGGGTTCAGGAGCTGCACAGCTTTTTCCACAGCCTTCAAAGTGCGCCTCAGCCTTTGGCTGTACACTGGGAGAAACTGCTGCCAGACACCCAGTGCCTGGACCACAAAGGAGACATCAGGTTCAGGCCAGTCAGACGGATGGAAAGGTGACGGGAGTTGCCTGGCCTGTGTCACATGTGCATCCTTGCCCAACCCCGGGGGCAAGAGATGATCCAAGCCCTTGGCCGAGGAGCTTGGGTAGCGTTGGCCGGTAAGCCCAGCGAAGATAGCTGTTCGCATGCGCCCCCAAATGGGGACCGGTCCCAGCACTTCCCACGGTTCTTGCCGAAGCCGCCGCCACATAGGGTACGCTTGCAGACTCGCCAGATCACAGGCCTGCAACCGAGCAAGGACCTGGTGCCAAGTACTGTCTGGTATGTCCGCAAACGCGAATTGGATCCGCAGGTCGAGGCACACCTCGGTAGCGGTCAACAGACCGGGCATAGCGTCCAGGCGCCCTGGTTCCCAGACCGTGTGCTTCAACCTGTCCCTCAATGCTGCTTCTTCCGCAGAGGTGAACGAAGGTACAAATTTGGCCTCCAAGATACTAGGTAGCATAGCCATGAGCGCCACCACACAAGGAATATGGAAGCCATTACCAATGAATGAGTTTTGTGCCTGGGTGCGCTTGACCTGATTTCCCCGAGCAGGGGCTACCAGTGCTGGCGGCAAGCACATCATCTGGCAGCGCTCAGCAGGAGATGGTTGGCGCCATTGCTTCCCATGCCACAAGAGTGAGTGCTCTTCATAGGCCCCCGGAGGGAAACGGCGCTGGTCAGCATAGAAACGTTCGGCTGCTGCAGGACTAACCTCGGGGACCCGGTCCTCCGGATGGTAAAATTCCCGAGTGAATGTGTGCATCGCGCCCTTGCCAGCCTGCTGTAACACTGCCTGAGGGGAGAGCAGAGGTAGGAAATGGTCGTCCCAAAACACTTGCGGTGGCAGGGGCTTCTTTCCCGCATACCGCAGTTCCGCAACTCCAGATGTAGTTGTGCACCATTGCCAGGACTCCGGAGGTGGGTTGGCCGGACTGACCACGCCTCGCCGGGAGCGGAGCCAGAAAAACCGTCGACGCGACACCCATCCACAGGAGCCTCCATCCAGTAGGATAGGGGGCCCCGCCAACCAGTTCTCATAGGCCTGTTGGACCTGCTTGGGCATACTGGCCACATTTTCAAGGAAAGCGACAATCTCCATGCCCTGACAAGCCGGGAGCTGTTCAAACTCTGATACTAGCCGCCGAAGTTCAAGCGGTTGTTGAGATCGTGTGTCATCAAGCCCCTTGCGGCGCCGGTTCAAGGCGGAATTGCCCTGGCACGGGGAGCCCCCACCCAGGAGGACCCCCCGAAAAGCTCGGCGGACCAGCATAGGGATGAAATCCACGGCACGTAGGTCCTCCAC